GATTTGGATGTTGGGGAGGTGGTGGCTTGTGATTCACTGGGAGGGGGTAGGAGGGTCATCAGATGGGAAGCTCTAGCAGCAGATGTGGACGGCATGGCTTGTAACACACAGGGAAACGAGGGAGGCCAGTGAGTGCTTTAGGGGTGCGTGTTTGTGTCTCTCCTCCTGCATGCCACGGCTCAGTCCAACTGGGTACAGTTTACCTGGCATTTCTTGTGGACAAAATTGCAGGTAAATAACTGCAAGCTTCACATTAGGCCCAAATTGCTCCCTGATATATCGGCTGTGTTGGAACAAATTCATTCATATTTTTTTCAAAACAAGTGTTGTTACGGAACTGACCATCTTTCGGTATAATCTACCTGGCCGACTCCTAGCCATTCTTCTGTAGGTTTGTTGTTGTTGTTTTTAAGTTTATTTATTTAAAAAATGTTTTTTTATATTCTTGAGACACAGAATGAGGGAGACACAGAATGTGAAGCAGGCTCCAGGCTCTGAGCTGGCTGTCAGCACAGAACCCAACGTGGGGCTCGAACCCACAAACTGTGAGATCATGACCTGAGCTAAAGCCGGACACTCAACCAACTGAGCTACCCAGGCGCCCCTAAGTTTATTTATTTTGAAAGAGAGAGAGAGAGTGAGCAAGGAGGCAGAGAGAGAGAGAGAGAGAGAGAGTCCCAAGCAGGCTCCACATTGCCAGCATGGAGCCCAACATGGGGCTTGATCCCATGAACTGTGAGATCATGACCTGAGCCAAAACCAAGAGCCAGACGCTTAACCAGCTGAGCCACCCAGGTGCCCCTCTTCTGTAGGATTTTATGTCAAATTCCTATCTAAGATATAATCAGTAGCTCCCTTGCTTTTGTCTTTATAACAAGGCTACGTACGTATGTGTCTATGCATGTATCTCCATGAGAGTGCAGGTCACGTGCATGATGGCAGACTACGTACATGTCTTCCTCTCCTCTGTGGGCACCTTCAGGAGCCCCTCATACTCATCTTGGCATTCCTAGTCGTAGCACACGCAGAACCAGCTAGAGGATGCTCAGTAAATACCTGGAATGGACCTGATCAGAAAAAAGACAAAACAGAGGTGTCTGGGTGGCTCAGTTGGTTAAGCATCTAACTTCGGCTCAGGTCATGATCTTATGGCTCATGGGTTTATTTTATTTTATTAAAAATTTTTTATAGTTTATTTATTTTTAAGACAGAGAGAGACAGAGCATGAGTGGGGGAGGAGCAGAGAGAGAGGGAGACATAGAATCCAAAACGGGCTTCAGGCTCAGAGCTGTTGTCAGCACAGAGCCTGATGCAGGGCTCGAACCCACGAACCATGAAATCTGACCTGAGCCGGAGTCAGACGCTTAACCAGCTGAGCCACTCAGGTGCCCTATCACAGCTCATGGGTTTGAGCCCCACATCAGGCTCTGTGCTGACAGTTCAGAGCCTGGCGCCTGCTTCGGATTCTGTGTCTCCCTCTCTCTCTCTGCCCCTACCCTGATCGTGCTCTCTTTCTCTCAAAAATAAAATAAACATTAAAAAAAATGTTTTTTAAATAAGAAAAAATAAAACTTGGTTTAAGAGAATTTTTGATCCAGAAAGACCTAGAAGAGGGTGTAATCTCAACCTTTCAACTTACAGGTGAGGAAAGGTTTCACTTTTCATTTCACTTAACATTCCATAGTTTTCACTTTCACTTAACATTCCATAGCTAGAAAGATAATCATTTGGAATTAGTTGGAAAAAACATTGGCTTCAGATGTAATAAATTTTCCAGAAGATTTCCAGAAGATTAAATAATTCTGGAAATGTTGAAAAAACAATAGAATTCACAGAAATATACTTGGTAACATGTTTTATAAATTCCCTCCCTCTGGTCTTTGGAACTGGGTGTAGATAGTTACAGAAAAAGCAAATCATTTGTAAAAATTATTTTTTTTTAATTTTAGAGAATGTGTAAGTAGGGGAGTGGGGCAGAGGGAGAGAGAAAGAGAGAATCTTTTAGGTTTATTGATTTTGAGAGAGAAAGAGGCAGAGAGAGAATCCTAAGCAGGCTCTGAGCTGGCAGCTTGGACCCGGGCTCGGAGTTCAATCCCATGACTTGAGTAGAAATCAAGAGTCAGATACTCAACCAACTGAGCCATCCAGGTGCCCCAGTTTGTATAAATTCTTAATTTTTGCACTAAGGAAGCAGGGTAAGATTCTAAGCAGCCTGTATGCGTCACCATTGTTTGGCATCTGTTGCAGATAACAAGGGTCTTCTTTCAAAGCCTTTTTTCTCATACTCTGAGATATCACTGGGGGAGCACACAGTGACTCAGTCCTTCTGGCAGGGAACTTTGCACTGTTGCCTAAAAATTGCAGAGCTGAGCGTTTGACACCATGGCACTCCTGTGGGAATCTCCCTGAGCACATCCACATGTGTATACAGTGGCTCACGTACAAGTGTTACATTGCAGCATTGCTTTTTTTTTTTTAAGTTCATTTATCTTGAGAGAGGGAGTGTACACAGCAGGAGAGGGGCAGAGAAAGAGGGAGAGAGAGAGAATCCCAAGCAGGGATCACTGTCAGCAGAGCCTGGCACGGAGCCCAGCTTGGGGCTCGAACCCACGCAGCACGAGATCATGATATGAGCCGAAATCAAGAGTCAGATGCTTAATTGACTGAGCCACCCAGGTGCCCCTGCAGCATTGCTTTGTAATAGCCAAAGTTCAGAAACTATCCCGAGTGTCCAGCAAAAAGGAACTCAGGAAGTAGTGATGGTGCGTCCACATAGTGGAATATTACTCAGTCATAAAACAGAGTGAGGAAGACCTCAGACGTGGAAATACTTACTGGACATACGTTTAAGTGAAAAGAAGCAAGATACTGAAAGGCTTATATGCTATTCTTCACATGTATCCAAGGGGACAGGAATAAGAATATATATTATTTTGGGGGCGCCTGGGTGGGCATCTGACTCTTGGTTCGGCTCAGGTCATGATCTCACGGTTCATGAGTTCGAGCCCTGGGACAGACTCTGTGCTGGCAGTGTGGAGCCTGGCTGGGATTCTTTCTCTTTCCGCCCCTCCTGGCTCACACATGCACGCTCTCTGTCTCTCCCTCTCTCAAAAATTAAACATTTTTTAAAAAGAATATATATTATTTTTATTATATGTCAACGTATATTAACTATTTTTAAAAGCCCCAATAATTTAAAACGAGAGGAAAAAAAGGAAAGAAAGGGTAAAGCACAGCACAGCTGACCACATCACCTTGCGCCCCAGCAGGCTTCCAACTTAGTTGAGGGGTGGAAACAGGGAGGGACTCAGCGAGTCCAGGGGACCAGGCATCCTCATCGCTAGCTCGAGACCGTCGGTGCTGCCAGGACTCTTGACCTGTTTTTGTGGAAGGCTGGGAAAGCCTACGGATCCCTTTTAGAATAATGTTTTTAAAGGAATGAAACAAAATAAATCAGATTGTAAAATACATAGGGAGGCTGCTTGAGCAGACAGGGCGGCATGAGTGAAAGCCGCGAAGGCCTGGGAGCGCCGAGAAGAGCCTGAGCCCGGCCCACATGTAGGCCCTGGGGAGGGTCAGGGGCTGAGGATGCCGGCTTTCCCTGCCAGCTGAAGTCCACCACCTGGGCCTACTGCTGTCATCCCTCTCTGTCCTCCTTTTCATCTTCTTTTTAAAAATATATCTCCAGGGGCGCCCTTGTGGCTCAGTCGGATAAGCACCCACCTCTAGATTTCTGGTTCATGAGATGGAGTCCCGCATCAGGCTCTGCGTGGACATGGAGCCCGGTTGGGATTCTCTCTCTCCTCTGTCTCTGCCCCTCTCCTGCTCGCATGCCTGTGGTCTTTCTCTCTTCCTCGCTCAAAATAAATAAAGGGCACCTGGGTGGCTCAGTCAGTTAAGCGTCTGACTTTGGCTCAGGTCATGATCTCACAGTTCGTAGGTTCAAGCCCCGTGTCGGGCTCTGTGCTGACAGCTCAGAGTCTGGAGGCTGTTTCAGATTCTGTGTCTCCCTCTCTCTCTGCCCCTCCCCCACTCGTGTTCTGTTTTTCTCTCTCTCAGAAATGAATAAACATTGGGGCGCCTGGGTGGCTTAGTCGGTTAAGCGTCCGACTTTCGCTTAGGTCATGATCTCGCGGTTCGTGGGTTCGAGCCCCGCGTCGGGCTGTGTGCTGACTGCCAGCTCGGAGCCTGGAGCCTGTTTCAGTCTGTGACTCCCTCTCTCTCTGACCCTCCCCTGCTCACGCTGTCTCTCTCTCTCTCTCCTAGAAATAAAATTTAAAAAAAAAAGAAATGAATAAACATTAAATAAATAAATAAACAAATAAATAACAAAAAAAGTCTCCCAGAACACCTAACAATGCTAACGAACCAAGCCCTCAGTAGGTACTTACAATTAACAAGGGCACTTAACAATTGTTTTTTATTTATTTTTTATTTTTTTTTATTTCTGAGAGAGGGTGTGTGAGCAGAGGGAGGGTCAGAGAGAGAGGGAGACACAGAATCTGAAGCAGGCTCCAGGCTCTGAGCTGTCAGCACAGAGCCCGACGCGGGGCTCAAACCCACGAACTGTGAGATCATGACCTGAGCTGAAGTCAGACGCTTAACCCACTGAGCCACCCAGGCGCCCCAACAATTGTTGATTCGTATTGATGACCATGATGACCATTGTCGTCACTAGGGGCTCACGACATTGTCCATATTAAGGCTGACAGAGACCCAGTTATATCTGGGTCATTAGCTGATTGCTAGAGTTTAAGGCATAACACATATGGTAAAGCAAACAGAGCCTTGCAACTAGGAGATTAGAGACAAAAGGGCCCCACACATGAGTAGGAAGTCAGTACCTCTTTGCTGGATGGATGCTTATTGTATGAAATTATTTCATTGTATTTCATTAATTCCTTAAGGTCTTTTAAAGGTATTTCTGCTATGTTTGTGTATTGTCTTAAGTATTGTCCAGTTTTCCTCTCCTGGGTACTAATTTAGAAGTTGTTTTATAGAACTTAGAAGTCTCAGAAGAGTCAGCTCAAAAAAATACCGTCCTTACTAACTGAGAAAACAAAAGTCAACTTCAGTATTCACTGTGATCATAGGTAAGTCACCTTTGTTTATCTCCCTTTATATCTCAATTGATATTTAATAAGTAACTTGGGAACATTGATAATGTAGAGTCAAGGCCATACATTTGTTTGACCTGTAATCCTTTCTCTTGTTAGACCTATTTATACATACCTTCTAAATTCAATCAATAAAATGTCAGTTATTTGTACGAGAAATGCAGATCAAAAAGTTCTTGTTCTCAATACCTAGAATTTTAAGTACAGGGAAGTGAATACAGATAGCTTTCAAAATCAGAATCTAAGTTAATATTTCAGCATTTCATCTGGGTATCTGTCTGGAAAGAAGTCTTTTCATGGGGTTTCAAGTTTTATAAAAAGATTCATTGATGGGGGCACCTAACTGACTCAGGCCATGGAGTGTACAAGTTTTGATCTTGGGGTTGTGAGTTTGAGCCCCATGTTGGGTATAGAGATGACTTAAAATCTTGAGAGGCGCCTGGGTGGCTGAGTTAAGTGTCCAACTCTTGGTTTCACTCAGGTCATGATCTCATGGTTCCATGAGTTTGAGCCCCACCTTGGGGTGCAGAGTCTGCTTGGGATTGTCTTTCTGCCTCTCTCTCTCTAAATAAATAAATAAACTTAAAAAAAAAATCTTGAAAAAAAAGTTTCAACGATGTAGTTTGCATTTTCTTGGTTTGTTTCCTTCTGTTAAACCTACATTTGCTTTCAGTGTAAGCAAGAACTCTGTGAAAGCAGTAAGTGCAGGGAGCCACCTCCCTGCCTCTTGTTCTCTTTCTCTGTCTTTGCTGAGACATTTTAATATGTATGGTGTTTTCCATGACCTTATGTAGATAAAATCAGGACGTATAGTTAATTTTTTAGAAACTGGGAATTAGAATACACTGCCCACCGGCTCCCCTTGACTTGATTTTATTCACTCTGTGTTTCCTTCCTGCAGAAGCCGATTTTCCAACTTTGGAAGGCAGGAAGCAGACATCAATACCTAATGCTTAACCTTGAAACAAAAGAGGATTGTAATCCTTTGTAAGCAACATTTAATACCAAAGGGAAGCGGAAACCGAAAGTTAGTTTTTCAACATCTGTATTTTATTGGTTTTCAAGTTGACCGTTTTCATGTTGAAGAAATATTGCTTTATGTTAAGCAGTTAGACCTTATTGTGTATTGTCTGTATACACTTGGAATTCTGCTCAGAGAGAAAAAGATGCAGACTAGAATTAAGTACTAGAGAAGCTCTTTAAAAGTGTGAGCATCCAGGCGAGAACCCCTGCGTATAAAGTGCTATTTCCACTCTCTGATTTAAAAAAAGAAAAAAAAAGAAAACCCTGTGCTTGCATTTAAATTACAACCAACGGAGACAGCTGCAAATATTCTGAGAACTAGTAGCCTTTTCATTTGTGGCTTTTGCTCTGGACTTCGCTGTGTAAAATATGATAGAATATATTTTTAACTGGAAAGTATCTCCTCAGGTACTGACAGTTGAGGCCCTTCTGTCCCAAAGCTGAACAGTAGGAGAGTTCCCGTCTACTTAGACAAACAAAAGCTCGCTGGAAGATCAAGTTTTACGTGCGGTATTTTTTTTTTTTTTATCACTAAAGACTAAAACACTTCCATTTTAACTTGTAATTTAATTTTTTAAAGGATATACTATGTGCATTTCTGTCCCTTCTAAGAGAATTGATCAGTTTCAACCAATAAAAAATATTTTTAATAATAAAGAAAAATAACTTCCTTTTTATTATACAGGCGCGAAATAAGGAAGGTTAGCCGCTTGAAACCGAACCTGGCAAGTGAATTTCCTCGGGAGTGGGAATGTCGTTTTTTTTTAATCATAGCCGTTATCAAGGTTCTATTGTGCTGTATGAACGCCCCTTTGTTGAAAGGTTTCAGTGCTACTTCAGAGATGATTTTCATGAGAGTGGAGGAGCCACCCCATTTAGCCTTTTTAATTAGGGTGCTGAAAAGAGAAATTGGGTGAGGTTCTGCCGAAGTTCTTTATAAATGCTTGCTTTCTCCCTCGGGCAAGGCCAGCCCGGTCTGTGCAGGGCAAGTCTGAGAAAGGTACAGTTGATTCTGAGCTGTTGGAAACCTAAAATGTCCCTGGAGAGGCTGGTTTGCAGCCTGAGAAACAAAATATGAAAATTTCTCCTTCTCTTTGTGCTGGGCTCATGGCTACACGTCAGCCTGCCCAGTGAAAAGAACACTGACAAGATGCTAGTAAGTAGGAAAATTTCAGGCAACTACAGAATTTGAGAAGAGTGAAAAATTATTTTGTGACTAAATGTGTTTGAGCTCCCAGGATTATCGCATCTACAGTTCCTACCTGGCCTCACCACGTTATTGTGAATTACAGCACATATAACCCCAAAATGGGAAATCTTAATGTTATCATCAACTTCTCTAAACTAAGTTACTTCAATATGGGAGCAGTTTCTGTAGGGAGCCTCAGCCTCAGTATGTTTGAAAGAGTTGTGAGATAAAACTAGACTTGAGCATTCCTATTTTGTCATCAACGTTCTTCCATTTTATTTTATTTTTTTATTTGAGAGAGACAGCGTGAGCAGGGGAGGGTCAGAGAGAGAGGGAGACACAGAATCCGAAGCAGGCTCCCGGCTCTGAGCTGTCAGCACAGAGCCCAACGGAGGGCTCGAACCCACGACCTGTGAGATCATGACCTGAGCAGAAGTCAGATGCTTAACCGCCTGAGCCACCCAGGTGCCCCGACGTTCTTCCATTTTAAGAGGAGGCAACTAAATGGTGAAACAATTTGCCTGCCAGAAGCTACCTCAGCCATCAGAAGAGACTGGTGTAGGGGCCCCTGCGCGGCTAAGCGTCCAACTTCTGAATTTAGCTCAGGTCACGATCTCACAGCTTGTGAGTTGGAGCCACACACTGGGCTCTGTGCTCACAGGGCGAGCCTGCTTGGGATTTTCTCTCTCTCTCTCTCTCTCTCTCTCTCTGGCCCTCTGCTCTCTCTCTCAAAAATAAATAAATAAAAATTTGGAAAAAGATAAAGAGACTAGTGTAAGGGTACTTTTACAATTAGTGGACAGATCCTCTAAACAAAAATCGAAATATCCCACAAGAAAGAAATTCTGATTCAAGAGAATACATGAACACTAATAACAGTTTTACCTAAAAAGTTGTAGTAGAAAAGCATGGACTTGAGAGGCTCTGTGGGGTAAGGTTGGTGCAGACTAAGAAACCAGACATATTAATCACAGCAGGCAAGGTAGGTTAAAAACCAGAGTGGTTTTTGCGGAGAGTTTATCAAATGAGGAGGGCACATTAATCAGGCCTGTAAAGGATGATTTCTGGGTTCTCAGCCAAATGCACACTTAGGACATTTAACAACAACAACAACAACAAACCAAAATAATTTGAACACCTAGTAAGTACTGCTTTGCTGGCTGCTGGGGAGACAACAGTGAGCAAAGCAGACTGACTCCTTGTTTACAGCGGAGGAGACAGACCTTAATTAATCACAAATAGGTCATGAAAAACTGGTAAGTGCTATGAAATAAAGCTGTGAGCTACTGTGACAGCATACATCAGGGGCGCAGGTCAAGGGTGGAGGCTTCAGTACTTACATGAACTAAGAGCTGAAAGATAAGTAGATGCTTACCAGCAAACAGGAAGAGGAAGAGCATTCCTGACAATGGTAATAGCATGTGCAAAGGCCCTGAGGTGGAAAGGAGCATGATGCATTTTCAGACCTGGTGAACCAGGACGGCACAAGATGAAGCTGGACGGAGAGGTTGGGGCCAGAACGTACATACGTGTCAGTGAGGCAATGTGGGGATTGCAGCCCCATCATCTCAGTAAGCCCGATGATGTAATCTCTACTGTTCATCTTCTTGGGGCTTCCTTGAAATGGGTCTCATTCTTATGCCAAATCCTTTGTCTTTATAATAGCCTCCAGAAAGCATGAAACAGGCCTGAGATACAGCAAAGTGGCACCCTCATGCTGATGACAGGGAAAATTTCAGGCAACCGGTGACAGGGCCAGCTCTGCTGCCTCAAGGTGTTACCAGAGATGAGCATCGACAAATTCAGAGTGCGGAAGCTTATATCCTGTGTCTCAGGCTGCTCATTTTATAAATCTAGGCCATATGTGGAAGTGCACCAAATTATGGGGGGGGGGGTTATTTACTCACGTTTTCAGCCCTTGATTTCACACGTATTTATTGAACATTGCTAATGTGCCAGGCACTCTGCTGGGCACTGAGGTTTTAAAACTCAGTAAAGTGGGTGGCCCTTGCCCTCCAGGAGTTCAAAAGCTTATGTACAAGCAGATAAATTGTAATTCATTAGAGATATTTTATCAAAGTGCCCTAGGATCCCAGTAATAAACCATTCTTAAAAAGAGAGGTAGTCGGTTGCTAATGTTAAGCAACTGTGGCAGATGTTTCTAGACCCAGGGGGGGTTGTTGTCTGGTTTGAAAGAAGATGCTGTGTTAAGTATGAAGTTCACAGGATAACTTGCTTTTGTTCGACGTGGGAAACGGAGTCTGAGAAACAGCTGGTCTGGAGCCAGCAAGCCCCTTTACGGGTCTTTATCCGACCACAGCTGTTGACTAGGGTGCTGGGGTTTAAAAACGAAAGAGTACATGTAAAGTCTTTAGCTCAGTGCCTGGCGAATAATAAGCATCCGGTAAATATTAGCCATTGTCATTTTGGTGAAGATACTCTTCAGGGATTGGGATTAGGTAAAAGCAAGGTTAATTTCTCTCCGGTGGAGTCAGAGAAGAGCCTTGTCAAACAGGTTTAAGTACCCCCTGTCAGCTATGGGGCAGGCAGAGAGCGATCAGGGAAGTTACAGAAAGGGGGACCACCTTCAGGCATCCTCTCCCGCATCAAGGGGAGTCCTGTGTTGGGTGACTTCACATCTGCATTCTGAGAGGAAAACTGAGGTTCACAGAAACAAAATGACCATTTGATAGCATACACTTGGGAGAACTGTGATTTTTTTTTTTTACTTCAGTCTTGTGACTGATCATTTAAAAAGCAAGCCAATGATAACAATGTTTTTTTTGAAGTCCCAGCGACCTCCGGCGGCATGCACTTTGATGGCCCAGCGCTGTGTTGTGTTCAGATCTGCACACGGGAGGTCCCAGCCCTGCCCGCCCTCTTCCCGTTGCTGGGCTCTGGCAAGGTGTCCGCCTGCGGAGTCTGCAGACTCCGAAGGCTGACCCCACAGCCCCGCGCTGAGATGCACGAGAGGGGAGGGCTTACTTGCATGCATTCTGACACATAAATTAATATTAGACTAAAAAGGGGGGAAAATGTCTAGTTGTGCTTCCATTGGTCAGATTCACTGAGGTCAAGTCTTCTCCAGTGAGCCATATTCCTGCTCCAGTGTAGACGGGACTTAGTAAGTGCTGAGCGCAGGTTGTAGGGAAGGGACTCGGCCCAGGGGGCTCGGCCGAGGTGCGCAGGGGCTGGGGGGCCTTGCGGGGCTCCGCCCGCCGAGGGGGCGGGGCCGGGGCGGGGCGGGGGCGGGCCAGGGAGGCCAGCGGCGGCCGGGGCGGGGAGCAGGGGCGGGGAGCAGGGGCGGGGCGGCCGGGCGCCCCGAGGCGGCCTCGCGGTGCCTAGGCTGGGGCGGGCGGCGGTGACGCGCTCAGTCGCGCGGAGCCGGGCCGGGAGCGCGGACGGCGACGGCGGCAGGATGAACAGCATCAAGAGCGTGCCGGCGCGGGTGCTGAGCCGCAGGCCGGGCCACAGCCTGGAGGCCGAGCGCGAGCAGTTCGACAAGACCCAGGCGAGCGGCGGGGCCGCGGGCGGGGTGGGGGGGGGTGCCCCTTTCCCCGTCCCCTCGGGCCGCCCCCGGCCACCCTGCGCCCCGGCCGCCGTCCCCCCCACCCCCCAGCCGCCCTGCGCGCAGGTGAACCGGAAGCGCGCGCCGGCGCCGGGGCCGAAGGGGCCGGGGCGCCGGAGGCCGCCCGGGGACTGAGGTGGCGGGGGGTGGGGGTGGGGTGGGGACCGGGAGCTCCGGTTGGGGGACCCGGGGAGCGAGGTGGCGGGCGACCCAGGTGGAGGGGGCCGAGGTGGCCCGGGAGCGGGGTGGCGGGCGACCCAGGTGCGGGGCGGGGCAGGATGCGCGATGTGCCAGGTGGGGTCAGGTGTGCCCTGGCCTCGGTGCGCCTCCCGGCGGGGCCTGGCTGCACTTCGGTGCCGCGGCCGGGCCGCCCCTCCCCGGCGGGCTCCAGCCACCTCGTTCCAGGCCGCGTGAAAATGCCCCCCGCTCGCGGAGGCAGAGCATTTCCTTGAAGGAGACTCCCAGTTTCCTCCTCGCCCGAGCTGTTTTCCAGGGCCGCACAGTATCTTATTATGTGTCGCGCGAAAAGTTTCACGTATGTAGCCAGACTTGTTTGCCTGAGCGCTGGCCCACATATAAATAGGTTCACACCCCCTTATTAAATACCGGCGCCTGACAGACAGAAACTTCCTAGGGCTCCCTTCCTGCACTTCCCACGCGCCTATCCTGGGAAGGTTATTTTCAAAATTCAGCAATGGCGCGGGTGTGTGTTTGTACATGTGTTCGCGCTGAGAACACAAAACGCAGTCGCTGCTGTGCTTCTGGCTTTCTGTTCCTTTTTATTTTACGAATACTGAGGTGTTCTTCTGCCCGGGGGGGAGGGGAGAGCACAGTCATTTGCCAAAATAAGTCAACCAAGACTGAAATAGCAGAAACATTTTACTTTAGAAATAAAGGAAGCCGAAAGGACCCCTCGTGGCCCCGTCTGGAGCGGTGTGGTGACATTTGTGGCTGCTGTAGCAAGTTCCTTCCCACCTGTCCCTGCCCATAGCAGTGACTTCCGCGGTTGCTTTCAAATCAAGTTTATCTACATGCAGTCAACAACAGCTTTCATTTTGAAATAAGGGAAATCCAGGGGGACCGTCTAACCTTGGTGCTTATGATTTACAGTGGAAACGATAATAAAATTTGGGGACACCAAGGCTTTATGAAAACCGAGTGCTGGAACCCATCTGTCCGAAAATTATTAATTTATCCTTGTGATGATGATGTGATCATCATCATCTGGCCTCTTTTCAGTGGGGACAGCCCATCATAAAAACAGAAGTGGTGTTTAATTTAAAGTCATTAATACATAATTGTGCCAGGAGCATGTGCAAGGATGAAGAGGAAAATTTAATTGGCAGATGGAATCCGGGTTTTGTCATAAGCTTTATTTATGCACAGGTTTTTAGATTTTTCTCCCCATGCTTTTGAGGAGCTATAAGGAGGTCTGATTGCTACAGAGAGGAAGTGGAATTTAAAGGGCCAGTTTTACTGATCTTACTCGTTACTATAAGCCAAGGGCAACCTTCTTTAATGTCAAGGAGAAAGAATCTCTGATAGAGGTCTGAATATTATAGTGGTTGGTTCGGTAAACAAGAAAGTGTTTTGTTTCCATTAGTTGGGTTTTTCTTAAGATCTGAGAGGGTTACTTAATATTGAATAACTTTGTAATGGACGCATCTCATAGGATTTACCCTTTCCTGACCTCTTTTTTTCTGGAAAGATGGAGTTTGGGTTCAGCGTCTGGGTTTGCTGGTCTTCAGAGCGGCTTACTGAAGGCTGTAGGATAAAGGTTTTTTGCATGGTTAATATTTAATTAGCTCGGTCCCAGAAATATCCAGTGAGCTGCTAGCTAGGCCCCGTTCGTGGAAAGGACCCAGAAAGCTGACGTTGGGGCTTACATGTCTCCTTGTGGACAGGAAATAGCATGTGCACTTCACGGGTCCACCTTCCCTTTGGAACACACTGCCTCTGTCTTCATGTTGACCACTGTGCCCTGGGTTTCGGGCGAGCACTTTAGCTTGCTTGGAATTTGTCATGGCCATCTCCCAGTCTCACCTTTGTCCTTGGGCTCCTGGATCAGGAGTAGGAAAAAAGCTCCCATATTAGCTTTCCCGACAGGCCACACCCTGTTTTGCAAAGGTCCCTTCCCCACCCCAGTCGGGAGCGTTCAAGGAGAGCAGTCACACTTCCTCTGTGTTGGCTGGTGTTTGTGATTGTTGCCTGCTGTGTGTGAGTGTGTATATAATCCCAGGGGAGAGTCCAGAAAGCGGGTCTATTCTTCCCCAGGACTTTAGCCCTTTTGGTGATAAAACCCCTTTTCAAAATAGAGATGACACCGTAGTAGTGGCTTTTCGTTGTTGTAATAACATTCTCCAGAATACTCCAGAATACTGTGCACCTGCATTCTGACCCTGAAAAGAGCCTGTGGCGTTAAAAAGATGGCATGTCATGGAAAACACTTAACAGGTAGACCCGAGTGCTGCTAGCCTGTGTCCCTGGGGAAGCCACTTAGCTCTTGAATCTGTCTCCTCATCTGTATATTGATGTTGCACCTGCCTCCTATGGCTGCCTAAGGTACAGAGAAACACTGGTAGGCTGCCCCTCGAAGACGGCCACGTCCAAATTCCTGGAACCTGTGAATGCGTCATGGTGCTTGGTGAGAAGATGCTGATCAGCTGGCCTTAAAATAGGCCCCTTATCCTGGCTTTGCCAGGTGGGCCCAGGCCTTTAAATGTAGGAGAGGGAGGCCGGAGAGGAGGTCAGAGGGAGGGCCTGGCAGGAGGAATACTTGCTGGCTTGGAGATGGCAGAAAGGGCCCCCGGCCGAGGACCTCGGGCGTCCTGGAGAAGGCGAGAAACGGAGCCGTCTGCAGGGCCTCCAGAGAGAAATGCAGCGCTGCTGGCACTTTTGATGTTAGCTCCAGAAGACCTGTGTGGGGCTTCTGACCTCTGGGACTGTAAGATGGTAGATATAGGTGTTGTTTGAAGGCATTGTTTTGCCTTTTGTGGCAGTTTGTTACAGCATTTAACAGGCTGCTAATACACACAGAACGCAAAGTGCTGGTGCAGTGTTCTGCAAATAGCCAGCTGTCTTCCTCCCCCCGCCCCCCCTCCCCAAAAAACCTCTAACATTTGAGAACTAGTTCAGAACTTCCACTAGAGAAGAAGCCCATCTTTGAGGCGTATCATGGACGAGGACTCAGCAGATAGGAAATGCTAAGCTTCAGATTTGCTTTTTCCTTATTTGTGAGTCCCTGTGCTTCTCCGGGGCTAAAGCCTCTGCAAGATACAGAGCTGGAGCCCAAAAGCTGCTTCTCAGGTCAGGACAGCGAGGGGCCACCCTGCTCAGTGAGCCAAGCCCCGTGGATGAGTGTTAAATGGAGATGTAAGACTACCCAGGTGTTAGGGGTTTTCTAGTCGGGAGGGCACCGTGGGTGTGGGTGTGGGTGTGTGGGTGCAGGAAGCAGCCAGAAAACAGTTCATAGGGCCAGTCTTTCAGGTCAGTGACCCACCCCTTCACCAGCCCCCTAGGAATTGAAATCTTGTGAAGAGTAAGGTTTTTTGACATTCAGGACTTGTCAGCCCTGGATCACGTTAGAGCAGCGCTGTTCAATAGCAACAGAATATGAATCTCACGTGTCATTTAAGATTTCCCTGTAGCACATTGGAAAGTAAACAAGTGAAATTCATCTTAATTGTGTATTTTATTTAACCAAGTGTATCCAAAATGTAACCATTTCACTGTAAGACTTCTGAAGGGGATATTTTACATTCTTCTCCTCCTTTTAAAAAAATGTTTTATTATTCATTTGAGAGTGAGAGAGATAGCACAAATAGGGGAGGTGTAGAGAGAGAGGGAGACACCGAATCTGAAGCAGGCCCCAGGCTCTGAGCTGTCAGCACAGAGCCCGACGCAGGGCTCAAACTCACGAACCGTGAGATCATACCTGAGTCAAAGTCTAAGGCTTAACCGACTGAGCCATCCAGGTGCCCCTCCTTTTTTTTTTTTAATTTAAAGTTTATATTTGAGAAAGAGAGCAAAAGAGAGAAGAGAGAGAGTGTGAGCAAACACGCACTAGCAGGGGAGGAGCAGAGAGAGAGAGAGAATCCCAAGCAGGCTAAGAGCTCCCAGCCCAGAGCATGATGTAGGGCTAGAACTCACGAACTATGAGATCATGACGTGAGCTGAAATCGTGAGTCAGACGCTTAACTGACTGAGCCACCTCTTCTAAGTCTTCAAAATCTGTTGTGTGTTTCACAGAGCACATCAGTTTGGGCTCATAGCTTCAGGTGCTCAGTAGCCACACGTAACCAGCAGCTACCTGTTAGAGCCACCCAGTATTAGAATCACTTGGGGGGTTTCTTTAAAATGGCAGTGTGAAAGCTCTGGAGATTTCGCCTGGATAAGCCCCAGACATTGGTCTTTTTTTTTTTTTTTTTTTCCTAAGTCCCCAACCAGGAATTCTTTAGGCTCTCCTGTATTTTTTTAATTAAAAAAATGTTTTTTAATGTTAATCCATTTTTGAGAGCAAGAAAAAGACCGCATGAGCGGGGGAGGGGCAGAGAGAGAAAGAGGAAGACCCATAATCCAAAGCAGGCTCCGGGCTCCGAGCTGTAAGCACAGAGCTCAATGCAGGGCTTGAACCCACAAATCACAAGATCATGACCTGAGCCAAAGTCAGATGCTTAACCGTCTGAGCCACCCAGGCTCCCAGAAACTCCTTCTTTAGAATCTCCACTTGAGTTGGAGTTTGAGAGCCGTTCCCAAATATACAATATTCTTTCCAACTCCCATATTGCACAAGACGGTCTCTCTGCCCTGACTTCCGGTCCTGTGTGTGCCCATCACCCCCTCTGTGGAGTCTCCTCTGACTGGCAGACACTTAAGCACGTCCACTTTTGTGTCTTTATTCCTTGTAATGCTGTGGTATTTAAAAATATTTTTTTTAGTGTTTA